AGTATAACAATTTAAAATATGAAATGTATACTATAAATCAGTTTCAACAAGTTACGAATATATTACTTAACAATTAATAAATGGTATAACAAAATGTGTCAGTCTCAACAAATAGTTTTGTAAGTCTTTCAAGTAAGATCATTCTTTGATTCTTAAAAAACAAAACTAAAAATGAATGGTAACGTTTTAGTAGTACATTAAATAAAAAAGACAGCAGTAAATTTAAAACATAGCAGTAAACTGATAAATTCATCGTCTTAATACTGTAGGAGGATCTATCTTTTTAATAATTTGATCGTACATAAATTCACACACATCTGGGACAGGTGGATGTACAAAAAGCATTGATTTTGTATCTTTTTGTTGAGATGGTTATTTCCTAAGAAACTCATTCTTCAAACTCAATAAACCCAACTTTGGTAACTTTACAAATAAATAAACTTTATGCTATTGTACCCCAACAACCAATCATCAACAAAAATGTCATACACATTTTACACATCTTTGTGATATCTATTTGAATATACTTGACTATTGAATCAGGTAACTCAGGAGCTTCAACATTTACTATACTTAGAACGTTATTGTCAATAGCTTCAAAATGTATTGTTTCATCTGGGACATTATTGTCAGTAACTTCAGAATGTATTGTTTCATCTGAAACATTACTGTTAACAGCATTAATATTTATTTCATCATGCAAATTATTATTCAGAGCATGAGGGTAAGTTTCTTCATTAATTGCACTTGGATCATTTGCGTTCTGTGTGACCGTTAGTGTTGTGCGCGATTGAAAACGTATATGTTCGGTTGTTTATAGAATAAATGTTTTTCTCGTTAGTGATTTTTTTTTTATCAAGCCGTTTGGATATCCATAAGTTTGTCGTAGTCGTCGTCGTCGATAATAGAATAATAATAATATAATATACGCTGGGGCATAATAATATGCCCCAGCCCCATGGAAAGAGTATGGTGACTATCAGGCAATTGGTATCGTTTATCATCATCGTGAGTCATAGTTACTTTTGATACAATTTGTGTGTATATTTTATGCTTTTTGGATTAAAACAAGCACATTTTTCGCATAGTCCTGACGCTCTGGAGTGATGTACAATTTAAATAATCGCGTTCGGCAATAGTTTGCTGAACGACAGCCTTTTGGATACCTTTCAACATTTTTTTTTCAGCCCCCACCCCGTCGGCCCGTATATAATAAGACTTGATTCGAATACCGATAAAAATCAAAAACAATGTGCCACTTAATTCGTCTTTTATTTTGTATAGGCACTTTATGTTTACTAGCGGAATATTATATTTATTTTGGGGCGGGTAATTACTAGTGTTAAATAAATTTAAATTATCACGAATATCTTTATAAACATCCGGCGTTTCAATTGAATAATATAGGGAGTCCGTATCTGTGTACAAAAGTACAGCTTTATCACCGTACTTTTGTTTAATGAAATTATAGTGGAAATCGTAAAGAATTAGTTTTGCCAATTTAGAACACGCAAAGCCTACATAACAAGGCCGATCGTAGCAAATTTCGGTTCGGCGCATTTGTATCGCAACCAAGTTATCATTAAAAATTGTACAGCTGTCGTAAGTAGGTTTTGCGATCAAGACACTAGCCCCCTGTTTTTGTCTTAAATTTGCCCAATCGCTAACGAGTCTAACGTTTATTCTTTTCTCCGGTTTTCCAAAGTTTTGCCGAATATAGAGTTGTTTAAAAATTTAATAAGTTTAATTTCAAACATTTGTGCGCGCACTTGCCCGAAGTCGTTTAGTGTTGAATTGAATAAATTCGGCCATCCACGTAGTTTGGCTAAACCGTAATACGCGATGAACTTTTCGTAAAATTAACCCGTTGGTCACAGCTTGCTTTAAACATCGGTAGTGCGTTACAAAATTGAAACACGGTAAACACACAAAACAATTAGAAAAAAAAACATATTTTTTCTAATTAAAATATTTTATTGTAATACTATATAATCTTATCTTAACAGTATATCGTCACGTTAAAATCATACAATATTATTATTATAATGAAATATGTCCTCCACCATTAGCTGGCTGATTAAGACGCAGAAGTGGAGGTAACAAGTCTGCATCCGATTCATAAGTAACATCTGTTGATGACCCTTTTTTAAAAAAAAAAAAAAAAAAGGAAATATTATTTTATTTCAAATAAAAAAAAATTAACTTACAGGAATCTGCTAGCGAAACTATTGATGATTCTGATGTAGACCAATTTCCAATTCCACGTTGGTCATCTGTATCCGCTAAATAAAAAAAAGTACGTTACTTATTTTTAAAAAAAAAAAAATGTTAATATTCATTTATTAACCCATCATTGGTAAACCTATATTGTAGAACACGATTGCTAAACTTTTTCCATTATTATTAATTACTAGTTAAACTCAGAACATTGAATCATACAAAGAAATATGTATCTTTTTACTCACTACTAATTGATAATATATATTTTTTTGTAATTACTATTATTAGAAAATAAATAAAAATAAAAAAAACTAGTAAGTTTATTTTTTAAAAAAATTGTATAGTACAAAAAAAAACCCTAAAATGTGCTCTGTGTGAGCGCCGCGCTCATATGTTTACTAACGATGGGTAAAATAAAAAAAAAACTTACATTCCAACCACAGTGTTGATTTGCTATGAAAAGACTTCACGTCGCTACTCGAGCTCCAAGGAGAATATGAAGTCGACGAGAGCGACCGTTGACGTAGGGGTGATAATGAAAAAAAAACTAGTACTGGAATTAACACTTACCGATCGACTTCGCGATGCGGTAGTATCAGTCTCAAGAGATGTGTAAGAACCTATCCGTCGCCGTTGTGTTCGGATTTTACGCGGTCGCCGCCGTCGTTTGAAACGCCTTACCGTTCTAGCAGACGATGGATAGGAATCGCTGTCCATTTTGAACTAACAGCTCTTACTCATACACTAAGTTTGATAGTAAAAAAAAAAACCCTACTTATTTTTTAGTGAAACAATTTCGCCTTGTAATAAGTATAATCATTTGAGTCATAGCAACCATTACACAAAAAAATTACTACGATTCATTGAACAAGACACACCGCGTCAATGGAACCCTGTGGTTTGTTGTATTCTATGCGTTGCGTGATCTGGGTTTATGCGGTTTATGTGGGTAATGTTCGAGCGTCTAATTAACTTTCTTCACACGTGAATAAACATTGATATTACTATATACCTTTACTATACTACTGAAAAAAAACAATGATTTCTAATTAAAAATATTTTATTGTAATACTATATAATATTATCTTAACAGTATATCGTTACGTTAAAATCATACAATATTATTATTATAATGAAATGTTCTCCACCATTATTATTATTGCTATACTACTGAAAAAAAAAAAACAATGGTATATAAGTAAAAAATATAACTCGTCTTAACAATATATCATTACGTTAATACCATACAATATTAATATTATTATTATGAAAAGAACCTCTACCATCATGTATTTAAAGTAGTTGATATAGCTGTAATAATATCATTCCTTTGTCATTTTTATTGTGCGAGATTCATCTGATAAAAATTTTTCTCCTAATTCATCAAATAGATTTTTCAATAAATTGTTGATTTTAGAATTCGCCTTATTATTTGTAAGACCAATTTTAGCAGATCGGTTCACTTTTCGCCATCTATAAAAAAAATTAATTATGCTACGTTTTGGTACCAAAATAAAAAAAAAATTCTCACCTCTCACTATAGGATAATCCTAATACATCATTTACCAAATATTCTTGTATAATTATATAAGACGTTGGACTCGGTGTTTTAATATTAATGACGCAATTTTGATTATTGTCACGTAAAAGCAGCATCGATTCTTCATAGTTCGCTTCATCTATAATAACTGCATCTTTTAACGCTTTTTGAAAAATTGTTGACTAAAAATAAAAAAATACATAATTTTACTATTTAAAAAAAAAAAAAAACAAAAAAAGTATAAATTCGAACTGTACTGTCACACAACTACTGTTAATATAACTCTGATGTTTATGTTTTTTCTCGTTTTATACCAATCTTGACAAATAAAAAATATCCCACCATAGTGCTAACGTTCAATTTGTATGGTAAAAATAACTTAAGCGAAAATATGTACGGAGTGGGATGATTCTGTTTTTATAATACCATGTAGAGTGTCTTCGAAATAATAATATGAGAATGATAATTAACCTTCTTTTATTCATTCCAGTTGTAACATTGTAACAATCATTGTACAATAGCTAAAAAAATAATTTATAAATACGATTCAATGAACTAACCACGGATCACAGAAACCCTACCACTCGTTGCGCGCTACGTGTTACAATCCTTGAGGAACCTAACTGCTATAGGCGTTTAACTATATTCTCCAAGCGAGGTCGATTTAATTTTTTTAATAACACTATAGAAGTGGTATATGTTGTGAATGTCTTTAAAAGTATAATATGAGGAGGAGAATAACCTCCTTTCGACTGCATAAATACTGCCTAGTCGAGTGTTTTAAACATCAGTCTGTGATCGTCTTTTACCAGTGGAAACACCGTCTCCTGCTAGTGAAGTGTTTTCAACAGTACTATATCATTCTTAGCTATGTAAGTGTAATAATTTTTTACTTAAAGACATTTAATTTTGTACACTTGTTGTTTAGTGCTCTTTAAAATAATATTTTTTTATTTAAGTCGCCGTCATTTATTTGATAGCAGTGCTAATAAAATATATATTTTAATTATGTCACCAACGGATGCATAAATTAAGCTATCAGTTCTAATTTTCTACTCCAGTTGTGTAGTGCTCTTTAAAATCATATTTTTTTATTTAAGTCGCCGTCATTTATTTGATAGCAGTGCTAATAAAAAATATATATTTTAATTATGTCACCAACGGATGGAAAATATTGAGTGTCTTTAAAAAAAAAAAAATAGTATGAAGAATGAACATTATGATTCTTTTTTTTTTTTAGAATATCGTTACAGTCCTCACCACTCTCGAGGTCAACACATTCAAAAACTGTTAAGGTATGGCACAACAAACTTCCACACTTTTATTAAACCCTAAAGAAAAAATCAAAATAATTAAAGCACTAGGCAAGCCTAGCAAACATGCTAGAAGAAGAAAAAATTATAAAAATAAAAAAAAAAATAAATTAGATGAAGAAATAAAAAAAAAATTTATAACATAATAAAAACAATAAAAGAAAATATTTAAATTTATCAATAATTTTGTTGTTGTTGTATTTGTAATAAAATGGCGGTTCAATTTGTTGGGCACCATCGATTCGTTGGTAATTTTTTTTCCACATGTAATACACTCGGGAATAGGTTCATCATGTTTTGCTCCGTCCGGTTCTCGGATAAGGGCCCATGAGATCGATACTGATGACCTCCCAGGGTTGTCGCGGTTTTCTAGTCGAAAGAGGGTCTTCCGCCTTGGCGTAAAGAGGCTTAGTGCACGCGCAAATGTGACAAGACTTGACATAGAGCCTAACTTGATTCTTTAGACCTCGCCAGTAAAACCGTTCTCGAACCGCCCTATAAGTCTCTTTCCACCCAGGATGGTTGGAAAGGTAGTGATCGTGATACTTCCAAATTACCTGTGGCGCATTAGAAGTGGGGATCACGTCTGGTTTCAGTTCAATTCCATTTTTCGTACCTATTCGCTTTCTTAGAAGGTCGTCAACTAAGAAGAAGTCCTTCGAGTTGGGGGTCGCTTGTCTGGTATTGTTTGCAGGGGAGTCATTGTTCACGGAATCTATGATAGATTTCACGGCCTGATCCCTTGTCTGCCAAGTTTTCAATAAAGACAAGGAGAAGGGTGTGTCGACAGAGTCTGTCGGTGAATCGGTAACGGTGAAAATGTTATTGGGGGTATCGCCTACATGCCTGGAGCGTGTCAGGGTCGGGACACCTATAAGATTTTCATCGAGCGCCTCCTCATCTACGGGGGAACCCGGAGTAGGATGTCTCGACAGCATGTCAGGCGCCTGGTTCTGGGCCCCTGGGACATGTGTCGTGTGGAAGTCTAAATTACCTAGCTGGATTGCCCACCGGGTTAATTTAGCATTTTTGTCTTTGGCTCTGTGAAGCCATGTCAACGCGGAGTTATCGGTGTAGAGCTCGAATGGGCCCGACTCGAGATAAATTCTGAATTTATCGGTTGCCCAAATTATCGCTAAGCATTCGCGTTCGACCGCAGCGTATCGTTTCTGAGTATCGCTCAACTTTTTACTCGCGTAGGCGATGACTCTTCTTTCCTCCGGGCTGTCACCCCTTTGGAAGAGAATAGCACCAACGCCTATGTCGCTTGCATCAGTTTGCAGACAGAACGGGCGATGTAGTCGGGCGAAGATAACTTTGGGGAATGGTACAAAGCATTCTTTATTTGATTAAAGGCGTCTTGTTCTATCCTTTCCCATCGCCATTTTACCCCATGAAAGACACTCAATATTTTCCATCCGTTGGTGACATAATTAAAATATATATTTTTTATTTTATTTTTATAATTTTTTCTTCTTCTAGCAAGTTTGCTAGGCTTGCCTAGTGCCTTAATTATTTATATTTTTTCCTTAGGATCTAATAAAAGCGTAAATGTTTGTTGTCACATAATCATATACAAATACAACAACAACAAAATGATTGATAAATTTAAATATTTTCTTTTCTTGTTTTTATTATGTTATACATTTTTTTTATTATTTCTTCATCTAATTTATTTTTTTTTTTATTTTTATAATTTTTTATTCTTCTAGCATGTTTGCTAGGCTTGCCTAGTGCCTTAATTATTTTTATTTTTTCCTTAGGATCTAATAAAAGCGTAGATGTTTGTTGTGCCATACCATGATTAAACAGTTTTCGAATGCGGTTGATTCCTTGATAGTAGTGAAGACTGTTACGATATTCTAAAAAAAAAAGAATCATAATGTTCATTCTTCATTCTTTTTTTTTTTTTTTTTAAGACACTCAATATTTTCCATCCGTTGGTGACATAATTAAAATATAAATTTTTTTTATTTTATTTTTATAATTTTTTCTTATTCTAGCATGTTTGCTAGGCTTGCCTAGTGCTTTAATTATTTTTATTTTTTCTTTAGGGTTTAATAAAAGCGTAGATGTTTGTTGTGCCATACCTTGATTAAACAGTTTTCGAATGCGTTTGATACGTTGATAGTAGTGAGGACTGTTACGATATTCTAAAAAAAAAAGAATCATAATGTTCATTCTTCATTCTTTTTTTTTTTTTTTTTAAGACACTCAATATTTTCCATCCGTTGGTGACATAATAAAATATTAATTTTTTTTATTTTATTTCTATAATTTTTTCTTATTCTAGCATGTTTGCTAGGCTTGCCTAGTGCTTTAATTATTTTTATTTTTTCTTTAGGGTTTAATAAAAGTGTGGAAGTTTGTTGTGCCATACCTTAACAGTTTTTGAATGTGTTGACCTCGAGAGTGGTGAGGACTGTAACGATATTCTAAAAAAAAAAAAGAATCATAATGTTCATTCTTTATACTATTTTTTTTTTTTAAAAAGACACTCAATATTTTCCATCCGTTGGTGACATAATTAAAATATAAATATTTTTTTTAATTTTTATAATTTTTTCTTCTTCTAGCATGTTTGCTATGCTTGCCTAGTGCCTTAATTATTTATATTTTTTCCTTAGGATCTAATAAAAGCGTAGATGTTTGTTGTGCCATACCATGATTAAACAGTTTTCGAATTATTCAACTAATTATTTTTTTATTTGAAAAATTACGGTTGTTACATATTCAAAAAAATATTTTAAATTAAAATTAAAAATGTACTACGATCGATGCATCCGGTAAGTGTAGTATTGAGAAATCTATATCTATTTTTAAAACCACTGTCGGGTTGAGCTTTTTAAAAATAGAAGGAGTGGTTTTCAACCAAAGACACACAGATGTAAAGGCCCTTTAAACCACAGATTGGTTCAGAAACGGTTTATGCCCCTCACGTTTTGTGCGACCCAACATTAGTCTTATAAATCAACCAGAAGAATGAGCTCAGATAATCGTCAATGTTTAGGCAAAAATATTGTAATATAAAGTAAACACGTACTTCGATTGTAGTTCTTTTCTCAACATAATCATTATATTGTTCTTGACAATTGTCGACGACTTGAATACAATCTTTGTCGCGTGTAACACTTTATGTGTTTGTCCTAGTGGCATACCTCTTATCAATCTCAACAAGTCACCATTGTTTTCGATCAATTTTGCATATTGACTTTTGCATAAAACGTGCAAACATTCTGCAACAATCAAACACAATGCACTCATGTGTGTGTACACATTGTTAACTATAGAGAGCCAGTTTATCTCAATACAATATAAATAAATAAACGATAAAAACAAAGCCAAAGCTTGAAAGGGGCTGTAAATACTCATTATATAATTTACCTAAGTACTGGGCAGGTGTACTCGTCGACTGGAATGACGATTCTGTTAACATTTTTAAAACGTATGTGGTGATGTACGTGTATTGTTTTTTTTCAAGCACAGATATCAAAATGAATGTTCCTAATCGGTGAACTTTTTCAATAATTTCCTTGTCGTCTAAAGATAACATAGTACGATCCATCTAGTCATCGGACTAAGAGAGCTCCGGTAGATTGTAGTCCTCGGTACAAATTCTCGGTTTAATTCTCAGATTTTTAAATGTATATAGAGTAAGGTTTTTGTTTAAATTCAATGGAACCACTTAAACTTGGCATTAAGGGGAACGAAAAGCGCTAAATTTTATATAAATAAAGACTAAAGCAAGAAGTCACTTTCTGAAGTGTCAACCGAACCCCGATTTAATCAATTTATTTGTTATATAGTTTAACATGTTTTCTTATTATTATTTTTTAACTTATTTTTTTTTTACATTAAAATTATTTGGCATACTGAAAAACGGTTACTAGATAAATTTTGGTCAAATATTGCTATCTTTGTCCCCTTAAAATGGCAATGCATACATTTCATTTTAACTTTTTATTCACAATAATGTACTAAACATATTGATTGATCGATTAAGTTATTGAAGTTTTATGTTTAGGGCCGAAGGAAAGGTAGAGTGTAGAATTATTTTAATCTACCAGCACTTGTCTCCAATCGTAAATTTTAAAATAATTGTTCAAAACCGGTTAAGATGACGTTATACCGTGGGACGTGTTGTGGTCGTACGGAGAGGATTAACTCGATTAATTAAAAACACGGGGTGTTGTAATCACGGGTGACTTTATTAAACACAGATTAACAATATTTTTTTGTATTAAACGGTAACGTCCGTGAGACCGTGATATCAGGAAGTGATGTCAGCTGGCGGCGGCGACCTTACTTGGTAACGTTGCATAGGTTTTCGTACAAATTTGGAGGGTTTTCATTGTTTTTTAATTGTTCTTCTACGAAACATAAATAATTCTGGAGTAGCCTGAGAACAAAACACCATAGTTCATTCATTTCAACCGATGGCAACGTTATTCGTCTATTCGTCTTCCAATCGGTATAGTTACACATTTAAAAAAAAAATAAATCATAAGTATTATTATTCATCGGCAACTAAAAAACTATAACACGCGAAATTCTTACATTAATAAACACAAACAGTTGAATAACGATTCAAAGTTTAAAAAAATTATGGGCTCCAAAAATTCAGCTTTAAATTTATGATCTGACGATTGATCATTTGTAATACATTTTTTAAGTTTTTCAGCTCGCTAAACAACAAGTAAGTTTAGAACGTATATTTGAAAAAAACATTTTTTTTTTAATTTTTACTTTAACACTGTCTGTGATTTTATTGTAATTTTTTATTAATTTTTGTAGTTTATCGCATTGCACGTTTTTACTGAGCCAACAGTAGCTCATCGAAAACACTATCAATCCTTGGTAGGTGCACAGAATTATATTTACAACTTGTAAATAGTCACATTCGAGAGATTGCCACTTTGAAATTATATCGTACATACTTTCATTTTCATTCTTAAAGAACACAAATTAATCAAAATGATTTCAAATAGTTAATATTTGTTTTTTAAACGTCAATTTTTAATATTAATACAAGATTTACCACGTAAACTTCATCTAAATTGCATTCACTGTAAAAATCGACCAACGGGTCAAGTATATTTTTTAGCAACTCACTATTACAGCTGTTGTTTGCAAGCATATTAATAAATAAATTTTGAACTAATACGATAACGTCGTCCAACGGTTCCTACGATCAGTATAACAGTACATCGGGTTAAATTATCGAAAAATATCACAGTCAGCGGTGTAGACGTAGTCGTGTATGATGATGTGTGCACACACACATACGACTGCCACTGTCCGTATAACTTGTATCATACTAACAACAATCGTAGGTCCATCGCGATTGATTATTATGGCCTTGTCGAACTTGAGCGAAATCTTTCCGTCATGTTTATAATAATTTAAATACGACCGCAGGTGGTCTAATAATATACTAATTAGAGCACATTCTACATTCGAGTTGTTCACAGACAATTTGAATAAACCTCTATAGAACAAAGATTTTACTATTGCATTTTGACGTAGACAAATTTTCAATAAGTTTATTATTTCCAAGCACAATTCTTTAATGTCGTGTGGCAAATCTTTTGAGTAGTTGTTTTTTAAATTACACAAAGTCACCTAATAATTATTATACAAATTAATGTAATTATATTAGTGTATTTTTATTATAATTAATTAATCTAAAATTTTAAACAAATTAAATTTAAACGGTAATATTATTTATATATATATAATATTATTGTTACACAACGTGTAATAAAAATAACACATGGGCTTTTATTTTTTTGCATTAATATATGGTATTTAAAAAAATGTATAATATGATTATAAAAAAAAAAAAACCCAACAACTTTGTCTCAATATATCGAATTATTAAAAATAAACCAAATTTAAAAGATACCATATTTATTTATTTACATCTGTAATCAGAAATCTAATCCTAAACATTCGGTTAAACCATAAAATATTACCTGAGTAAAAAGACCAGGCGAATTATCTTCGATGAAGTGATTTGTCGAATTGAAATCATCCATGAAAACGGACCGTAATATTTCTAATAATCCATTAACGGCACTACATCTCACTAGTAAATCCCTGTAACCGTATAATGTAATGTTAAGTATAAAAAAATAATAAACACATATAATATAATACTTCTACACTGTAATTTATTTTGGCGCATGCATAAAGGTAATTTTTACATTGAGCTAAACTCATGTTGTATTAACACAACAAATAGATAACTTTTGATATTTAATATTTTTTTTTTCATCAACTATTTTATAACACACCCAATTTTTGTTCAAAAACGTACGTTTCTACTTGAACATTTTTGTTAATACTAAGTTTTTGTTTATTACTATTGTAAGCACTTGTATTCTTTAGAAAATTTACAAGGTATTGATTGTGGCACAATTTTAAAATTATTTTCAATTATTCAACTAATTATTTTTTTATTTGAAAAATTACGGTTGTTACATATTCAAAAAAATATTTTAAATTAAAATTAAAAATGTACTACGATCGATGCATCCGGTAAGTGTAGTATTGAGAAATCTATATCTATTTTTAAAACCACTGTCGGGTTGAGCTTTTTAAAAATAGAAGGAGTGGTTTTCAACCAAAGACACACAGATGTAAAGGCCCTTTAAACCACAGATTGGTTCAGAAACGGTTTATGCCCCTCACGTTTTGTGCGACCCAACATTAGTCTTATAAATCAACCAGAAGAATGAGCTCAGATAATCGTCAATGTTTAGGCAAAAATATTGTAATATAAAGTAAACACGTACTTCGATTGTAGTTCTTTTCTCAACATAATCATTATATTGTTCTTGACAATTGTCGACGACTTGAATACAATCTTTGTCGCGTGTAACACTTTATGTGTTTGTCCTAGTGGCATACCTCTTATCAATCTCAACAAGTCACCATTGTTTTCGATCAATTTTGCATATTGACTTTTGCATAAAACGTGCAAACATTCTGCAACAATCAAACACAATGCACTCATGTGTGTGTACACATTGTTAACTATAGAGAGCCAGTTTATCTCAATACAATATAAATAAATAAACGATAAAAACAAAGCCAAAGCTTGAAAGGGGCTGTAAATACTCATTATATAATTTACCTAAGTACTGGGCAGGTGTACTCGTCGACTGGAATGACGATTCTGTTAACATTTTTAAAACGTATGTGGTGATGTACGTGTATTGTTTTTTTTCAAGCACAGATATCAAAATGAATGTTCCTAATCGGTGAACTTTTTCAATAATTTCCTTGTCGTCTAAAGATAACATAGTACGATCCATCTAGTCATCGGACTAAGAGAGCTCCGGTAGATTGTAGTCCTCGGTACAAATTCTCGGTTTAATTCTCAGATTTTTAAATGTATATAGAGTAAGGTTTTTGTTTAAATTCAATGGAACCACTTAAACTTGGCATTAAGGGGAACGAAAAGCGCTAAATTTTATATAAATAAAGACTAAAGCAAGAAGTCACTTTCTGAAGTGTCAACCGAACCCCGATTTAATCAATTTATTTGTTATATAGTTTAACATGTTTTCTTATTATTATTTTTTAACTTATTTTTTTTTTACATTAAAATTATTTGGCATACTGAAAAACGGTTACTAGATAAATTTTGGTCAAATATTGCTATCTTTGTCCCCTTAAAATGGCAATGCATACATTTCATTTTAACTTTTTATTCACAATAATGTACTAAACATATTGATTGATCGATTAAGTTATTGAAGTTTTATGTTTAGGGCCGAAGGAAAGGTAGAGTGTAGAATTATTTTAATCTACCAGCACTTGTCTCCAATCGTAAATTTTAAAATAATTGTTCAAAACCGGTTAAGATGACGTTATACCGTGGGACGTGTTGTGGTCGTACGGAGAGGATTAACTCGATTAATTAAAAACACGGGGTGTTGTAATCACGGGTGACTTTATTAAACACAGATTAACAATATTTTTTTGTATTAAACGGTAACGTCCGTGAGACCGTGATATCAGGAAGTGATGTCAGCTGGCGGCGGCGACCTTACTTGGTAACGTTGCATAGGTTTTCGTACAAATTTGGAGGGTTTTCATTGTTTTTTAATTGTTCTTCTACGAAACATAAATAATTCTGGAGTAGCCTGAGAACAAAACACCATAGTTCATTCATTTCAACCGATGGCAACGTTATTCGTCTATTCGTCTTCCAATCGGTATAGTTACACATTTAAAAAAAAAATAAATCATAAGTATTATTATTCATCGGCAACTAAAAAACTATAACACGCGAAATTCTTACATTAATAAACACAAACAGTTGAATAACGATTCAAAGTTTAAAAAAATTATGGGCTCCAAAAATTCAGCTTTAAATTTATGATCTGACGATTGATCATTTGTAATACATTTTTTAAGTTTTTCAGCTCGCTAAACAACAAGTAAGTTTAGAACGTATATTTGAAAAAAACATTTTTTTTTTAATTTTTACTTTAACACTGTCTGTGATTTTATTGTAATTTTTTATTAATTTTTGTAGTTTATCGCATTGCACGTTTTTACTGAGCCAACAGTAGCTCATCGAAAACACTATCAATCCTTGGTAGGTGCACAGAATTATATTTACAACTTGTAAATAGTCACATTCGAGAGATTGCCACTTTGAAATTATATCGTACATACTTTCATTTTCATTCTTAAAGAACACAAATTAATCAAAATGATTTCAAATAGTTAATATTTGTTTTTTAAACGTCAATTTTTAATATTAATACAAGATTTACCACGTAAACTTCATCTAAATTGCATTCACTGTAAAAATCGACCAACGGGTCAAGTATATTTTTTAGCAACTCACTATTACAGCTGTTGTTTGCAAGCATATTAATAAATAAATTTTGAACTAATACGATAACGTCGTCCAACGGTTCCTACGATCAGTATAACAGTACATCGGGTTAAATTATCGAAAAATATCACAGTCAGCGGTGTAGACGTAGTCGTGTATGATGATGTGTGCACACACACATACGACTGCCACTGTCCGTATAACTTGTATCATACTAACAACAATCGTAGGTCCATCGCGATTGATTATTATGGCCTTGTCGAACTTGAGCGAAATCTTTCCGTCATGTTTATAATAATTTAAATACGACCGCAGGTGGTCTAATAATATACTAATTAGAGCACATTCTACATTCGAGTTGTTCACAGACAATTTGAATAAACCTCTATAGAACAAAGATTTTACTATTGCATTTTGACGTAGACAAATTTTCAATAAGTTTATTATTTCCAAGCACAATTCTTTAATGTCGTGTGGCAAATCTTTTGAGTAGTTGTTTTTTAAATTACACAAAGTCACCTAATAATTATTATACAAATTAATGTAATTATATTAGTGTATTTTTATTATAATTAATTAATCTAAAATTTTAAACAAATTAAATTTAAACGGTAATATTATTTATATATATATAATATTATTGTTACACAACGTGTAATAAAAATAACACATGGGCTTTTATTTTTTTGCATTAATATATGGTATTTAAAAAAATGTATAATATGATTATAAAAAAAAAAAAACCCAACAACTTTGTCTCAATATATCGAATTATTAAAAATAAACCAAATTTAAAAGATACCATATTTATTTATTTACATCTGTAATCAGAAATCTAATCCTAAACATTCGGTTAAACCATAAAATATTACCTGAGTAAAAAGACCAGGCGAATTATCTTCGATGAAGTGATTTGTCGAATTGAAATCATCCATGAAAACGGACCGTAATATTTCTAATAATCCATTAACGGCACTACATCTCACTAGTAAATCCCTGTAACCGTATAATGTAATGTTAAGTATAAAAAAATAATAAACACATATAATATAATACTTCTACACTGTAATTTATTTTGGCGCATGCATAAAGGTAATTTTTACATTGAGCTAAACTCATGTTGTATTAACACAACAAATAGATAACTTTTGATATTTAATATTTTTTTTTTCATCAACTATTTTATAACACACCCAATTTTTGTTCAAAAACGTACGTTTCTACTTGAACATTTTTGTTAATACTAAGTTTTTGTTTATTACTATTGTAAGCACTTGTATTCTTTAGAAAATTTACAAGGTATTGATTGTGGCACAATTTTAAAATTATTTTCAATTATTCAACTAATTATTTTTTTATTTGAAAAATTACGGTTGTTACATATTCAAAAAAATATTTTAAATTAAAATTAAAAATGTACTACGATCGATGCATCCGGTAAGTGTAGTATTGAGAAATCTATATCTATTTTTAAAACCACTGTCGGGTTGAGCTTTTTAAAAATAGAAGGAGTGGTTTTCAACCAAAGACACACAGATGTAAAGGCCCTTTAAACCACAGATTGGTTCAGAAACGGTTTATGCCCCTCACGTTTTGTGCGACCCAACATTAGTCTTATAAATCAACCAGAAGAATGAGCTCAGATAATCGTCAATGTTTAGGCAAAAATATTGTAATATAAAGTAAACACGTACTTCGATTGTAGTTCTTTTCTCAACATAATCATTATATTGTTCTTGACAATTGTCGACGACTTGAATACAATCTTTGTCGCGTGTAACACTTTATGTGTTTGTCCTAGTGGCATACCTCTTATCAATCTCAACAAGTCACCATTGTTTTCGATCAATTTTGCATATTGACTTTTGCATAAAACGTGCAAACATTCTGCAACAATCAAACACAATGCACTCATGTGTGTGTACACATTGTTAACTATAGAGAGCCAGTTTATCTCAATACAATATAAATAAATAAACGATAAAAACAAAGCCAAAGCTTGAAAGGGGCTGTAAATACTCATTATATAATTTACCTAAGTACTGGGCAGGTGTACTCGTCGACTGGAATGACGATTCTGTTAACATTTTTAAAACGTATGTGGTGATGTACGTGTATTGTTTTTTTTCAAGCACAGATATCAAAATGAATGTTCCTAATCGGTGAACTTTTTCAATAATTTCCTTGTCGTCTAAAGATAACATAGTACGATCCATCTAGTCATCGGACTAAGAGAGCTCCGGTAGATTGTAGTCCTCGGTACAAATTCTCGGTTTAATTCTCAGATTTTTAAATGTATATAGAGTAAGGTTTTTGTTTAAATTCAATGGAACCACTTAAACTTGGCATTAAGGGGAACGAAAAGCGCTAAATTTTATATAAATAAAGACTAAAGCAAGAAGTCACTTTCTGAAGTGTCAACCGAACCCCGATTTAATCAATTTATTTGTTATATAGTTTAACATGTTTTCTTATTATTATTTTTTAACTTATTTTTTTTTTACATTAAAATTATTTGGCATACTGAAAAACGGTTACTAGATAAATTTTGGTCAAATATTGCTATCTTTGTCCCCTTAAAATGGCAATGCATACATTTCATTTTAACTTTTTATTCACAATAATGTACTAAACATATTGATTGATCGATTAAGTTATTGAAGTTTTATGTTTAGGGCCGAAGGAAAGGTAGAGTGTAGAATTATTTTAATCTACCAGCACTTGTCTCCAATCGTAAATTTTAAAATAATTGTTCAAAACCGGTTAAGATGACGTTATACCGTGGGACGTGTTGTGGTCGTACGGAGAGGATTAACTCGATTAATTAAAAACACGGGGTGTTGTAATCACGGGTGACTTTATTAAACACAGATTAACAATATTTTTTTGTATTAAACGGTAACGTCCGTGAGACCGTGATATCAGGAAGTGATGTCAGCTGGCGGCGGCGACCTTACTTGGTAACGTTGCATAGGTTTTCGTACAAATTTGGAGGGTTTTCATTGTTTTTTAATTGTTCTTCTACGAAACATAAATAATTCTGGAGTAGCCTGAGAACAAAACACCATAGTTCATTCATTTCAACCGATGGCAACGTTATTCGTCTATTCGTCTTCCAATCGGTATA